AAAAAAAAATCTACAAAGAAACTACAGCTAACTAATATTATACTTAAAATCATGGCCTGAGTCATTTCCCTCTAAAATCAGGAGCAAAGCAATGATATCTATTATCACTATTCTTGTGAATATAGTACTGGAAGTTCTAGCCAGTGCAATAAGACTGGAAAAGGAAATAAAAGGTATACAGATCAGAAAAGAAGAAATAAAACTGTCCCTATTTGCAGATAACATGATTGTTTATGTGCAAAATTCCAAGGATCTACAAAAACCCACAAAATCCCCAAATTCAAAAAATGACCAAAAAATCCCTCCTAGAACTAAGTTCAGCAAAGCTTAGAGGATACAAGTTAAACATACAAAATTAAATTGCATTTCTATATATTAACAATGAACATATAGACACAAAATTTAAAATGTCATACTATTTACAGCTGCTAAAAAGGACATGCATGTAAACCTAACAAAATATGTACAAGACGCACACTGCAAATGACAGAATGCTGATGAAGGAAATCAAAGAAGATCTAATAAATGGAGAGCATACTGTGTTCACACATTACAAACTTCAATATAAGAAAGATGTCAACTTCCCCAAATTGATACACAGATTTCCTGTCAAACTTTCAGCAAGATTTTTGTAGATACAGATTATTCTAAAATGTATGTGGAAAGGCAGAGGAAATAGAATAGCTAAAACAATTTTAAAAAAGAACAAGGTGGGAGGAGTCATCTGATTTTAAGACATTATATCATTTTAAAGACTGTATTGATGTTGGTGGAGGAATAGATACATAGGTTAGTGGAACAAGATGGAGGACCCAGAAGCAGACCACTCAAATATGTCCAACTGATTTTTGACAAAGATGCAAAGCAACTCAATAGATAAAGGCTAGCCATTTCAACAAACGGTGCTTGTGATAGCTAATACTGAGTGTCAACGTGATTGGATTGAAGGATTAAAACTACCTCAGACCCCCGTGTGTACTCTAGTCCAATAAGCCATAGTACATAGAAACACAATGGAAAATAATATTTTTACATTTAAAAGCTGTTTCACACAATCTCTCTTTTTTTTGCTTTTTTTTGCCACAATCCTGAGAAGTGGGTATTATCATCCCAATTTTCAGGTAAGGACTTTGAGGCTTTTGAGTGTTAAATTGTTATGGACAATGCTAGTAGATAGGAGAGCTGGGACTTGAACTCAGATCTTCTTACTCTAAGTTCTGTGTTCCTTTGAGGATAGTATTCCTTGATGATAGCACTTTGGATAGCAATCCTGTGGTGGCATTGCTTTGACCTGATAGCTTTGACACCAAAAAGGAGGAAAAAGGAGAAATGATGGTTTAGCTTTACTTTTATAAATGCTTGTTAGTGGGAGGGACCCCATCTCATCAATAATGCGACATTTTCCCTTGAAATGTCTCACCCAGCTCATAGGTGTGCCCATTTAAAACATGCAAGGCAAACATGGAGCAAACGTTTCACAAATAACCTTTCGTTCCGCATTTGAGATCTTTGGCAGTTTTACTTTCTTCCCCCACATTTGCCTTTGTTATCCCAGAATGCCTCTGTCTGCTTGTGTTTCTTCAGATGTGCACACCATTACCTGACCTCTGTAGAATGCCTTTCCTATTCTCCCAGGCTTAAAGCTCTTCTATGGACTACCTCCTTCCTGCCTTCTTCTCCAGACTTACCTCTAAATTTAAGATTCCTGCACTTTTGCTGGTCTGGCCTTCAGATTTCACTCATGCCAATCAACTGGCCTGTTGAGCTCTCTCCTTCTCTTCTTCCTCGAACCTGCCTTGATAGATTCATCCTTAGGTGTTCACTTTCCCTAGAATTATTGCCTATTCTTACTACACTTAGTAAACATTTTTGTTATTATTTATCTTTCTATGTAAGGATCTTGTAACTCAAAATGTTGGTACCTTGAGCATAGGAGTCCTACCCTGCACCTAGGCTAGGACTTAAACAGGATAGGTGGTCAAAGAAAATTTAGTCGAATATATCTATAACTCCACTAAAAACCATTTTTAGAGGCATGGCAAGATGGGAGGTTGATTTATTCTTTATTTTCCCTCTTTGTCACATATATACTAGGCTCACTAAAGTATTTTGTATGTAGTGATGAGCTCTGGGTTTGGAGATAAAGGACCTGGTTTCAAATACTGTCTGCCTTGTATTAGCTGTGTAGCCTTGGACAAGTCACTTAATTTATTTTTATGTAAGTTTCTTCAACTGGAAAATGGGGTAGGAATACCTAGGCCCCCCACAGTGTTGTAGTGAGAACCGAATGAGATAATGCTTGTGAAATAATTTACCAATCTGTAAAGCACTGTGTAAAGGATTATAAACACTGCCTGCTCCTGTGTGTCCCCTGACACCTTTTATGCTTTCATCCTTCTAAGAAGCAGTTGTTTGTGCATGGGGATCACCTGGCATTCTTGTTGCAGCACTCCATTATAACCCTCAGCACAGAAGTTTGCCAGTCGACTTCAGTGGGATGTGAGAAGTGAAAAGTGCATTTGATTCTCACTAAGATGCCTTGGCTCGGATTCAACAAATGCCATTTACTTGAATGCCTTTTATTTGCTTTTACTGCCCGCCCACCCCCCGCCAAAATCTTCATCTATTTGTTCATTTATTCATTTACTCATTTAATGTAATTGTTTTGAGTGCCTACTAGGGTCATGAAACATGTTAGATACCCAAGAAGTAAAGTGAGTACTTCAAGATATTCACATTGTACTGAGTGTAACAGACACACAAAAACTTATAGTAGATATAAGAACTATAATAGGATATATAGGATACACTGTGTACAGAGGTGGGAAAGATCATTCTGCGAAGTGAGGGAGTGTGTATCATGAAAGGCTTCAAAAGAGGTGATAGTCTATCTCGAAAACTAAGTAGGAGGAGAACTAAGGTAGAGGCAATGCAGGTGAAAGAAACAGCTTTCACAGCAGGTGAAACAAAAAAAGCGCTCTGGGAACCATTGTTAGCTCAGCCTGTGATTTCATTCATTCTATTACAGTGGATTAAATTACCTGTTATTTGCCAAACCCTATACTAGTTTATGGGGTTACAGGGGTCAGTGTAGGCATGGGGGTGGATGGTGAAGTAGCAAAGGAAAACTAGCCACATTATGAAGAGCCTCGAACAACCATTTTACTCCACGCCAGTACACATGGGAAAGAGTTGAAAGGATATGTGAACCTGCTGCCACCAATTCCTTTATTATTCACTGGAACTGTTTCAGCCAGAGAAGATAGACACAGTACTGGGCTTCACTGAAGACTGGGTGGCGCTGTCTTTAGGGGCAGGTTAATAATATACACCTAAGCGACAAGAACACTTACACCCGAGGAAATTAGAATACTGAACAGACACGTGGACAAATGTGCCATCTTATCAGTTTAAAGAAGCAAAAATGTAAACAAAGCGGCACCTAGTAAGATAGAAGACAAAGCAGAACATCTAAGGCTGTTAGGTAATGGGGAAGCAGGTGCCTTAGAAAACACGAAGGGCAAATGTAAAAAACCTCTAAGGCAAGAGTTCGTTGGGGAATCTGCGGGATTCTGTGTGCTGAAGCGTAGGCGGCACGAGTCACCTCTGCAGTCTCCGCTACCAAAGGGGCAAGGGGTCCCGGTAAGGCCGGTGCACCCTGGCGGAAGGTGGCGGGCAAAGCGCCTCGGCGTCTCTAGGCAACCGATCAGCCCGCCCACTCCAGAGTAACTTCCTCGTAATTGGGTCACGAATTCACCAATGGACGCACAGGGGGAGCTTCCCGCCACCTCTGGCGCCCGCTTTCAAACAGCCGTACTTTGCAACTGCGGGCGGACTTCTCAACCAAGCTTGAGGAAGGCGGAGACTTCTGCTTCCTCGCTCTGCCCCGAGCCGGCACGGCTCCGCCCACCGGGCGAGCTTCTAGTCGGCGATTGAAGGAGGCGACTGCTCCTTAAGGGCCTCCGCCCCGTGGGTTCGGTTGTGACTAGGAAGGAGCTAGTGGACTACAACCAGGGTAAGGGGGTTTGCTAGAAGTTGGTCTTCCGCCAGGGCTAGAGTTTCCTCGCGGTAACAGCCTCCGTGGCCTCTGGTGAGTTCTGATTCACGGGTGGGCTTGGACCTGGGGTTAGAGGAGTTGCGGGGTCCTCGGGATCCTGGCTGAGGGTTCCCCGGGGGCTGACCTGCCCTCTCCCCAAATCCCGCGGTGGTGGACTGCCCGCAAGTTGCGGGCTCAGCTTTTACCATTAACGTGTCATTTAGACCTCTTCATTCCTCCAATATCCTATTTAGAAGCGACATATGGGAAACCCGCCTCGTTTCCAAACTGCTGGGGTCGCCCCGAGACCCTACTCTGCGGACCCCGCCTTGGTCACCCTGGCGTTACTCCTGGCTCACAATAGGTGCTGTGTGCACGTGTGTTGACCGAGTACAAGTGACGCTGGCACCCAAAGCCAGCAGTCCTGGGTTATGGGCCCCGTGTGGCTTTGGTCATGTTTGTAGTGCTGTAGCTGACGCCAAACAGTTCCTCAAGGTCATTCGCTTAGCCTGTGGATGCCTATTGTGTATTAGCATTACTCGCTCCGCTCTCTGAGCAACTTAAATCAATTTGTCCAAAGTGCTGTCATTAGCACTGATCACAAGATGTCGTGATCATTTGTTTATATGTCTATTTTCTTTCCCTCCATCACGTCCCGTTAAACTGTAATCTTGAACAGTGCTTGGTAAATTGTTGAATGAATGAATAGGGCGCCTCCACCAGGTGTTGCAAGTCTAAACCGAGCTGTGTGCTCTGGCTATTTCCATTCTAGAAGGCGAGTTATGTCAGCAAGTAAGTAGAATTTCCCAACTCCCAGTGCAATTCTTAGAGACCCCTTTTTTGGGGGTTTATAACCCTTTCTATATCGTAGTCATGAACTCGAGTCTGATTTAAGCCTGTTATCACCGTATACCTTCATAGTGCGTGACAATGAACATGCACTCCCCAGACAGGTGAATGCACTCAACTAAAGAGAAGCTGAAGTAGAAGCCATAAGAAAAGCATAAGACATACAGTCTGAAAGTGCAAAGGAGTGGCTTATTCTATGGGGGAACAGGCTTGGAAAGGCATCTTGAAGGAGGGTGGCATTTTTGTTCCATAGGAAGTTGCATTCTTTGAAGTGACATTTCTCATAGGCTGCACACTCACCTTTTCTCAGATATGCGGAATCCTCTTTATTCCCGTAACCTCTTCGGTAGCTGTCAGACTCCTATTCATCAGTAATAATGTCATAATGGTAATAAAACTAGAATGTATTGATTGGTACATAGTGCTAATTACTTTACATGTATTATCTTGTGAATCCTCAGAATCAATCTTTGAAGTAGGTATTGTTTCCACCCCCATTTCATTAACGAAGAGGCAGAAACGGTTTGCTCAAGACTGCACTGCTGATAAATAAAAGAGCCAGAATTGAGCTCAGGTTATCTGAATGAGTGCCCTCATTCTTAGAGCCAGTTATAGCCATATTGTGTCCTTTAAGATTTATTTCTAATCTAAAAGCTCTTTTTTTTCTGTAAAAATTCTCTAAACTATCCTTTCTTCTTAGGAAAAGTTAATTTGTGCTTTGTACTTTCATCTACTACGGAATTTATTACAATATGTTATTGTAACTGTTTACATCAGTGGCTCTAAGAGAGGATGAGCAGAGACAGTGAGCTCCTCATGGCTGGTACCATGTTTTAGATGTATCTAGGATGTGATCTGGAACACAGTGGGTATTCAATAAAATTTTATTGAAATAATGAATTCCTATAAGGTAACATGCCTGTATCATATTCAGTCAACGAATATTTGTTATGTGCCTACCATGTGCAAGCGGGTAGATACATTTTAATTCTGCCTTCAGGGTGCTTATAGTTTATTAGATGAGGCGAAAACAATACTACTTTTGCTTTGTAATCTTTTGTCTAAATAAACACTGATTGGTTTTGTTGTAAGGAGGGCAGAGAAAATTAGGGACAACGAAAGAAATGCTGGGTCAGAGCATCCATCTGAGTGTAACAACAGGACATACTTTTTGTAGTCTTGTTAAGGGTTCAGAAAAAGTTATCTAGGAAGAAAGTCTACCAGACTGCTACTGAAAAAGAAAACCAAAACATACTGTACACTTATTCTGCATCTTGATTTCTTAAGTAGTCAGCCTTGAGTCAATAGATATAGAAAATTTTCATTATTTTTACTAGTGGTATAGTATGACAAATTCAAAAATAATTTTACTAGTGCAAATGTTCATTTTCAATATATTAATTTTGATAGTTTTCAAGATGGTTTAGCAGTTCATATTTTCACCAGGAACTCGTGAGCCATACAAAATACAAAATGGTCACCACTGGGTGATAATTTTTTTTTTTCAATCTAGTGGTTGTTGAAAGTGGCATATTGTTGTTTAAATGACACTTTTTTGAAACATCACGAGCTTAATCATCTTTTCAAACTAATTGATGTACAGTTTTTAAAATAAATTGTCATGTCAGTCGCCCAATTTTATATTGGATTGTCTGTCTTTTTAAGAATTTTATATTGGGACTTTGTCAGGTGCTTTGCAAATATTTTTCTGATTCTCATTTTTCTGGACTTTGTTAGTGATGTATTTTTTCTTTTTTTTCTTTTTCTTTTCTTTTCTTTTTTTGGGGATGGAGTCTCGCTCTGTCGCCAGGCTGGAGTGCAGTGGTGTGATCTCGGCTCACTGCAAGCTCCGCTTCCCGGGTTCACGCCATTATCCTGCCTCAGCCTCCCGAGTAGCTGGGACTACAGGCGCCCACCACCACGCCTGGCTGATTTTTTTGTATTTTTAGTAGAGGCGGGGTTTCACCATGTTAGCCAGGATGGTCTTGATCTCCTTACCTCGTGATCCTCCCGCCTCGGTCTCCCAAAGTGCTGGGATTACAGGCTTGAGCCACAGCGCCTGGCTGTATTTTTTCATACACAATATTTGACTTGTTAATGATGTCTTTTGCCTTAAACAAAGTTTTGTTTTTTGTGGTTAGGTTTCCATCACATTTTTCTTTATGGCTTTTGGGTTTGCTATCTTGCTATTTTTTTTTTTAAAGCTGTCTCTTTTGTTGTTCTGAATATTATACTAAAGTCTCTGGTAGCAGTGATAATGAGTGGTGATTAATAAGTTAAAGTATTAGCTTTTATTTTAGTCTCATTTAAAATATGTATTACCTTTTCAGTATATATATTTTTAACCACGTAAGTTGATCAGATTTCTCTTTATACCTGAAATCATTTCTTAAAGCCTTTCATAGTTTATAGTTCTCATAAGGAAAACTTATACCTTTTTTTTCTTCAGTGGGGGAGACTTTGGTAATGCCATGTTTTGGATTTAAAATAACATTAAAGATATATGCTTTGATATTTTACATTCTCTTTACTTTAAAAACAATAACGTAAGTATTCGTTATCTGAGAAAAAGTAGCCCTGTATTTAAAATATTAGTAGCTACATTTTTAGCAATAGGCTCTTATAAATCTTAATGTTCTTTTTCAATAATCAACATCAGTTGATGGCAGGTTAATAAAGGATTGGAACAAACCTCCTTTCTCTAACTTCAGGAGAAATTAACCCAAATTCCGTATTTTGTCTTGTATTTGTATTTAAATGAAAGAGAGGTAGAAGACACAGAATTCAGAAGCAGAAAGGATTTTTTCTGCCTGGAGGATTCAGGAATGTCTTTAAGGTCCAGTTTAATTTCATCACTTTTAAGGAGATGGGATTTAATTGGGCTAGTATTTTCATTATTCATATATAGTGTTCTCTACACTATTAAGTCCATTTGCAGTAGTAGAAAAAAAATCTAGAGACTTGTGATTGTGTGTTTTTTCCTCACCATTTCATATTATAGGCTCTTTACCATACTCATATCTTCATCTTCTGTTGATATACAAAAGGCATCTTATAGATGGACTTAGATTTATTTTCCTCAATATGCATGTCTCTTCCCCCTTTAGCCCTGGCACAAGGGTAGAAAGGAGTAGGTGTGGTCTGAGAAGCAGAGGCTGGAGGGTTTTAAGTTGATGTAAAGAGTCTGAGTTGATATGAGTTGAAAGGGACGGGTTGGGTGTAAGGACCAGAGAGGAAGGGATTAGAAGGTAGACAGCAAATTTGAGGTTGGCCAAGAAACATAACTCAGTCTTTGAAAAACAAAAACTTGACATAGGGGGATTTTCACCACTGAAATTCATATGTGTGTTAATCTTTAATACCATATTCATCTAGTCTAGCTTGCACATTTCCTTTTCACACTTTAATATCTACAACATAGACTGCATCCTAAAATTAATGTTATGTCATAATTTGATTGCCTACATCTTGTTCCTACTGCTACAAATGGAACTGCATCATAGAATCAAAGACATCTTAGATCTGATGAAATGGGGTATTGTCTACTCTAGAGCTATTGGCTTCCACGAAAGTTTGTGATATAGTTCTTACCTGTTAAGATGAGGGAGCTAAGTTCTTTATGGTAAAATGCATTTGGATTGCTGGGTCTCTATGCTTCTGATTTTACTTCCAATTTAATGACATTTTAGAGCTTGAAAGATGTAGTGAATGAGTTGTGGCTCAGGCTCACATCCAAGTGTGTTTCATTGGCATGAACGACAGTGGACTGAATGGAGGGCAGTGTTAGGCCAGGTAATTGATGACACCTGCCTACTTTTTTTTTTGTTGGGATTGTTCAGAGCTTTGAAGTTCTAAGGGGTTTATGTGTAGTGTCAGGATCCCTAAGTATAATTTAAATCAGCAGCAGCTTTTTTGACTGTAAGTAGTTGAAAACCCATTTCCTGCTGCTGCTTCTGCCGCAGCAGTGACTGCTCCCCAGGGAACTCTTGCTGTTGCTTTTGGAATTGGAAGTCCACAGTGGTGGAGCTTCACAGCCTTCACTTCTGTTTTTCCTGAGTGTATTGCCAGAACCTGATTTTATCAAGCTTAAGAGGAGGACGTTTAAGACTTATATTTTGTTGCGCGCTCTATGGCATTTACTGAATTGTAAATGGTTTCTGGGTAGCAGTTACTCATGATTTAGGGGCCCTCTTGTAAAGCATGATATTTGGATTTCTGATATTAAAAAAAAAAAATGAAGCAATTAGGGTACTGCCTGTACCATGTTTAATATATCACATTTGAAATTTTGTTTGAGCTTATAAGATTTTTACATTTGGCACATTTCTAGTTTATTACTATTGTCATTTTTTATGTGGACAAAAAATCTTACTGTTTTAACTTATATTTTCAGACCACTAGAAAGGTCTATTCATAGTTTTATTACCGATTTGCATTTTTTTCTGTTCCATGAATTGCTGTCATATAGCTATTTTCTATGAAATGCAATTATTTGTATTGGCCATAATGGAGTTACACATATGTTCTCCCAGTCTGTTTCTGTCTTTTCACTCTGTGTATGTATGGCATCTCTTATGTAGTTTGTTCTGGGGAGATTTTATGGAATATTCAGAAACCAAACATCTTCCCCTTCCCACAGGATGACCATGTCATTAGACTTTGGCAGTGTGGCACTACCAGCGCAAAATGAAGATGAGGAATATGACAAAGAGGACTATGAAAGAGAGAAAGAGGTAGGTTGTTAAAAAAAAAATAAAGAGAGAGACCCTAAACCCAGTCTTTAACAAGTTTTATTTCTTGATCAAAATTATATCATCTTGTGTCATTTTGAAGGGATTTGGATTTTTTTTTTTTTAAAAAAACAACCCTAAACTCTGCTTGCTATTTAGACTGAAAAGGTGGGTAAGTGGAATGCTTCTGTTTTTGAGGCAAGAATAAAACACAACGTGAATAATGCCATCAGATAAATGGTTAAATTTTTCTTTTCATTTAGGAGGTAATAGTAGACTTTGGAAGTGGCAGGTTAGTTTCTAGGTGCTTGTAACATTGCCATGAATAAGTCTGACAAGGCTCTTTGCTTTGGGTAGTTTACATCCTAGTGGGATGGCAGACAATAAGCAAGTAAACAAGTGAGTAAAGTAATTTGAGTGAGTGATAATATATCATTGATAAATGACAGGAAAACAAACTGGAGTGCTATGAAAGCAATTGGTAGGGGATTGCTGTAGATGGGCTGGTGAGGGAAGGTCTGTGGGAGGAGGCAATAGTTGAGCTGAGACTTGACTTATGAGAAGGAACCAGCCATGCCGAAGCCTGACGAAGAGCAGTCTAGGCCAAAACACCAAAGACTGTAAGCTGGGAAGTTGGGAAGAGACCCGTGTATCTGTGGCGCAGCCAGAAGGCCACGGTTTTGGGTACATATAAGCCAGTGCTGGGTGGTGGATGTGGCTGTCAGATCATGGAAAGCCATGATAAGGTGTTTGTATTTTATTCTTAGAGCAATGGGAAGCCAGTGGAGGATTTTAAGCAGGGAAAAGTGATATCATATTTTTGAAGATCTTTCAGAAGGCTGCATGGTGAATAGATTATAGAAGGAAAGGAATAAAAGGGAGAGACCATATTATTTATATATAAAGTGTTTAGCAGAATACGTGGCACATAGCAAGTGTTCAGTAAATGGTGGCAATAGTAATAGCAGCAGTAGTAGTGTTATTGGTGGAAGTCAAGTTAATTGTTTTGGTTGTTTTTAGTGTAAGTCAAATTTCTTGATTATCTATGATAAAAGGCTTCTTTTGTCCTGACACTATTTTTTTTTTATTTTTTTATTTTTATTTTTATTTTTTTTTTGAGACGGAGTCTCGCTCTGTCACCCAGGCTGGAGTGCTGTGGCCGGATCTCAGCTCGCTGCAAGCTCCGCCTCCCATTCTCCGGCCTCAGCCTCCCGAGTAGCTGGGACTACAGGCGCCTGCCACCTCGCCCCGCTAGTTTTTTTGCATTTTTTAGTAGAGACGGGGGTTTCACCGTGTTAGCCAGGATGGTCTCGATCTCCTGACCTCGTGATCCACCCGTCTCGACCTCCCAAAGTGCTGGGATTACAGGCTTGAGCCACCGCGCCCGGCCTGTCCTGACACTATTTTTTATATGACCCATTTTCCAACATGTAAAGAAATATTTAATAGTTATTGGGGACCATTAGTATTAATAGGAAGCAAGGAATAGCGTCAGTTGACCATTGTTCATGTGGCTGGTGGTAGAATTATGGCAGGGATAGAAAGCTGGCAACTTGCTGGATTTGGTTCATAGACAGGTATTGTCTTTTAAAAAATTGAATCTGTATTTGAAGATTCAAAAATTTTATGCAGCACTGCAGATTCTCTGGCTTATCTAAAAAACATCCAAAGCTCTGGCCACACCTGGCCTGTATTTGCACATGGCAGCAGGCGGGCTGGAGCTGAGCAGTGGCTCTCCTTCCCCAGCTGGCCACGGTCCCCACTTCTCACACAGACATGGGCTTATGCACTCAGACCTGCCTGCTTCACTCTGGTAAATTCTCTGCCAGGTCCCTGAGGGCATTTGAGTTTATGACCCTGGAGAGGGTTTCTGGATTTTGGCAGGGCCCCTCACAACAATTGTTGTGGCAAGGATGGGAATGAGGATTTTCTGTTACTTTGAACCTGCAGCATGAGGTTTTCATGACTGGGCTTGGATAGTTGGCTGGGGTTTAGCCACTGGGATTCTTGAGAGGGTCAGTTTAAGTAATCACTACTGTAAAGAAGAAAAAATATTTTGACAGGTGATTTTTCATTGAGAAATATATTAGAGAGATAGGTAGAGTGTTAGAGCTTACTGCCAGTGTATTGTGTGGTTAAAATTTTAGAGGGAATACTAGTCAAGGAGGCAATTAATTCTAGATAATATAGAAAATAGCTATTTGGGATCACTTCTTTGATAGATTGTATGCTGGGATAGGGAATTTCAGGGGAAAAGTTGTTCTTGAAAGATCAAATATCTAAGAATGAGTATTTCCAGCAGAGTGGAAGGATATATAGCTAAATTGGCTCTAACATGATGATTATGGTTAAATTTGTAAAAAACTTCATGCTAATAAAAATATTTTTACTTTAAAAAATAGTTGCTGCAAGGAAAACAGATTAGAGGCTAGAGAGGTTCAGCTTTTAGTGACAAACTTCAGAACTGTTCACAAATCTTCAGCTGTATATATACTTTGTCACTACAAGTTAAAGTAATAAATTGGGTGGTCAAACCCAAGCTTGCATGTGTATCTAGAAGGCTTTTTAACTGTCTCAGTCTTCCTGACCCAGCAATAGCTGAATGGCTCACAGCCTTAAGAGATTAAAGAAAAAAAGCTGTTTTTTCCTGTCTACCTGGTTGGTAGCTTTGGGACTACGGCTTTGGGATTGTGGCTAGATTATAACTGTTAGCAGTGGGCTAATGCATATTGCTTTCTCTACTTAGTGAATCACTTTGTGTTCAATTCGCTGACGTGGGAGGAATGCCTTTATCCCTGATGATGTGCTATAAGGCTTACCAGGCATACCGCATCTGACTCATAGTCTATCCTGCTAAGGGTTTGTGAGAGCCTCTCTTGGTACATGGTTGGATAGTCCTGATTTTCACTGTCTGGGATGAAAGGCCAGTTGCTAATACAGCATGTTTTTCCAAGCTGTGTTTAATTTTGTTGCTTTGGTGCCAGTTGGGATTTTGTCCACATGTGCCCATATCCCAGTGAATACACCATTCCAACCTTCATGCCATCCTAAAGAGCAGCTTTACAATTATGATTTAGCCTTTTCCATTTCTATTCTCTCCACTGTTAGCATTGAAGATCAAATGGAGAAAGTGCCTTTAACATTCAGAAAAAGGAAAGGATTTAGTAAATACGTTATTCAATATTTAGAGGATATTTAGACCAGTGGATCTCAAGCCAGAGACCATCATGAATAGACCCATATTTTGCAAAAAAACCAAAAAAACAAAAAAACAAAAAACAAGCAAACAAAAAACAAGAATTTTGTAAAAAAAAGTCCTATAATCTATTTCCAAAGTGCTGCAACTCTTAATGGTACATTAAGTTGGTCCACTGTGGGTCAAGGCATAAATGCATGGTAGAGAGGTACATAAACCACAGCTTCTCACAGTGTTTTAACTGAAACTCCATCTCTTATAAATAGTTGACAGAGCAGATTAGGGTGCAGATCAGCGAGGGTGATGACATCATAGAGATATGTATCATGTCGGTTAATATCCATTAATTGTCACACATTACTTATGTTTCTCCTAACTTACTGGAGGACATTACTTTCTGATTGTACTCTTGAGAGCTGCTAATACTTGTCGTTCTTGCTAAGGAGGAGATCTCATCCAAAGCAAACTTTTCTTTATAAAGCTGTCCCAGAAAATAATTCAGAAGCTCTTGTATTAACTCATTCATAATGTAACAATGTGACTTTGCAAAAATACTCTTCACTTAAAGTCACTATACTTGTGATTGCACAGTCAGATATTACAGAGATACAGTTTTGTTTTTTTTTTTTGAGATGCAGTCTCGCTCTGTTGCCCATGCTGGAGTGCAATCGCGCAATCTCGGCTGGTGCTGCCTCCCGGGTTTGAGCGATTCTCCTGCCTCTGCCTCCCAAGTAGCTGGGATTAGAGGCATGGGCCACCATGCCTGGCTAATTTTTTTTGTATTTTTAGTAGAGACGGCGTTTTGCCATGTTGGCCAGGCTGGTCTTGAACTCCTGACCTCAGGTGATCCAACTGCCTTGGGCTCCCAAAGTGCTGGGATTACGGGCGTGAGCCACCGTGCCCAGCCCCAGATAAAGGTCTTTTTGTAATAGGAATGCTTGTTATAAGCCTCTTAGTTGTTGGTAAAGCCACAGCTTAAAGAAGATTGCCATTTTGGACTCTCACAGTCAGCTGGAGTAGACGTGTACTTTCTGCAGTGTCACCAGAAGTAGCTCTGTGGTGGTTGTTGGTTCTAGATAGTAAAATTATCTGTTTATGTGTGTATATGTTCTGGAGCTGGTGATTTGGGGCAGAAATACTTGGTAATCTATGATGTCAAGATAGTATTTGCTGATGACGGGTCATTTAGTGATGACATCTTTGAAAATGATCTTGAGTAGAAAGGTAGATGTTTTAAGTAGCAGGTGGCAGATAGAAGCTTGCACCTGGCAATACTGACTTGGTTTCTATATCGGTACTTCTCTAATAGAATAATAAAGCTCCGCAATGAGCTTGGCATCACGTATTTTAGAGGCAAGCTTTCCATTGTGTAGCCTTTCTTCCACTTTTTTTTTTTTTGAGATGGAGTCTCGCTCTGTCGCCCAGGCTGGAGTGCAGTGGCCGGATCTCAGCTCACTGCAAGCTCCGCCTCCCTGGTTCACGCCATTCTCCTGCCTCAGCCTCCCGAGTAGCTGGGACTACAGGCGCCCGCCACCTCGCCCGGCTAGTTTTTTGTATTTTTAGTAGAGACGGGATTTCACCGTGTTAGCCAGGATGGTCTCGATCTCCTGACCACCCTTCTTGCACTTTTTAACTGCCTTGTTTGATGTAATTACGGAAACATTTTGATATTTTGTTTCCACTAGAGGGAGTTGTAAAGCTAGTATTTGTTTACATTTAGCGTGTATCCATGAAAGCATTATTTAATAATTCATAGTTGAAAATATCAGAATCTTTTTAGAAGTGTACTAAGAGGTCACCTGTTCAAAGGGAATATGACCGTTAGGTATTCCATTTGCTACCCTTTCTCTTGGGAGAAGATTATTGTATGGTTTGTAATTTGAGGCCTCTTGCCTTCATTAATATTGAGGATTATAGGCTCTGAAGATAATCTGTTTAGTTAATTTAAGTTGAAAATCCTGACAGAAGGTTTACATGTTCTCTGTTTTACATTTGCCCCTGAATGTAGGCTTTTGTATGTCCTACATGGGTTATTGCAAAGTGTTTTGTTAACAAAGTAAAATGCTCTTTTTTTTTTTTTCTTTTTAAGAAAGAAATATGTGAAGTAGAAAGGGAGAGGAGTTTATAGAATGATTCTGAATTTATTTCAACTGAAGCCTTAGAGTGGTAAATTATCTTTTTTATAGGGAAGGTATCTGTTAAATTTTTAAACTCAGTTAATGCACAGTAATATCTGTTGAGATTACTGCTTGCAGCCAAAAAGCAGTCTGATGAATTTTAAATTAATGCCTAGTATTAAATCTTATCATTTATAAGGATTGTTATTTCTGTTCTTGAATCTGTATTTGGAAGTTTGATAGATCTTTAATGAGGAAAATTTATAGTTTCTAAATTTCTCTATTTGGTAACAGGTAACATGCATAACTAGATATGGCAATTTTATGTTTTATTGCACAGGGTTCAGTGACCAAAAAGCAATTTGCCAGTGTATATGAGGAGGGCACACTTTGATCCTGGGAAATGGAAACACTGGAGGATGGATTTTATTCCTGAATGGCCTTATTTAGGACGACTTCATTTAGCTTTTCTCAGCCCTGAAACTTATAGAAGCCAGGGAATATGACCCAGCTATGCCAAAGAACTTGATGGATAAATTTTTTGAAGATGAATTTTAAAATGTTAGCATATATGTAAAATATCTTGCAAGACTCTAAATACTATAGGGATGATTTTGCTAGTTGATGTTTATATGTGGATCCGGAAGCATTTTGATTAGCTGATTGCTTATACTCAAATTAATTTTTCTCTGTGGATGCCAATTTTGTGGTGTCACAAAGCTACAATAACTGCTGAATTATTATGTAGTTTTTTTGTTTTTGTGTGGGGGAAAAAAAGGCACCCCTGAATTTTAAGGCTATGTACTTGAATCTCACTGAAGGTTTAGAAGAAAATGTTCTTTCTGTTCAGAAGTCTTTACTTAATATAGGTATAAAAGATTTGCTTTGTTTTATTTTTCCTTGTGTAACATGTGGGGGTAGTCTTTTGCCTTAAAGCAGTGATGCATGATTATAGACAACAAGTGGTACTACTTTTAAAAGACCTCATAGATGCGATTTTTTTCTCTAGTGCATTTGTGTCTTTGTAGAATTGCTTTGCTACCTTTCATATGAGGCATGTCATATACAAATATGTTGATGTGTCCTGTTTTGTTTTGCATATTGTGTCTTTTGTATTTCTTGTTTTTTATATCTCTCAGTCAACTCTGATATGGCTAATTCTCAAAATGATTTTTCAAGCACCTTGCATGTGGAGGTGAGCAATACATGAGGGTCTTGCGTGTTCATGTTAGCATTAAACAGATTTAAAGATTAAGATAACTTTTCATTGAAGAAAGTATCTTTCTCTTGTTGCATCTTTAAAAAAAAAATGGATTGAGAAAACCTTAAAAAAAAACCCATCCAGTGAATATGAGAAATAAATATAGATGAAGAAGTATTCCCACCCACGTGGCTCCAACATACTCTATTCCGATTTCCAAATTTTATTTCACCAAAGCTCAGTTAAGAATTTGGGGCATTCCTTTCAGACCTCCCATAAAATATATTTATTTAACTTTTACTATACATATTTTGTTTAAGAAAGTTTTTCTTTTTTTTTTTTTTTTTGTAACTCTTAACATTATACTCAGATATGTTTTATGGCCACATTTCATTTCTTTTGTATTAATGACAGGCAAAGTGGAAAAAAAATAACCTGCTGTAGACCAAGGAACATCTCATTTTTTTTTTTTCCTGAAAGGTTTTACAGAGTATTTAAGGTCTTTAAAATCCACTTGCATAATGTTATGGGTTTGATTTATGTACTTTGGAGGGATGTAATCAAGTTGTTAATTAAACTGGTGCTTAGTTTCTTAAAGAGAAGTAATTAGAAACAGTTTCCCAAAAAAGTATTTAGTAACATAATATTTGATCTTCTAATTGTTACTTAATTTAAGATATATATAAAATGGGATTTTTAGGGTAATATTATTATATTGGGTTTTGAAGAAAGACAATTGCAGATAGTTATGGAAATCCTAAAAGTTACTGAATTATGTCTTACAGAATAGCTGATTTATTCATCTTTTTATCATATTTGAAATTTGAATGAATTAACTTTGTCTGTCTAGTTTATATAATAAGCAGATTGCTAAAACTGATTTTTTTTCTAGAAAATAATAAGAGATAAATCAAATATTTAATATCAGGTGTAGTGTTATGCTTTTGCATGTGCTATCTATAGAAAACAGTCTTCCAACTCTTCTTTTACGCAGATGTTGTATGAGAGCAGAGTATTGTGTATCTTTTCATCTTTGGAATTAGATCTCTACTAATTAGTGACTCCCCCGGGTTTCCACGGGTTTCTACGTTATCAGAGCATTTAAGGGCTTCTAGGCCACCTGCTGCTGCTGCTGTTCTCATCACCTGGCCAGAGTGCATCTGGCTACTCACATTCCCTGTGGGACGTCTAATTGACAATTCCCTAGGGTCTGATTACTGGTAAAACAGCATTCTGAGACTTAGTCTGCCTGCCCTGTGATAACATAATACGTTGATTGTACCATTATTGTGACTTGCTGTGTTTCCACAAAAAGGTTTTTTAATTCTACTGTATGTGTATTTAAATCTTAGACCTTTGTTTAAAAAAAAAAAAAAAGCCTTCTGATATAAATCCTAAAATTATGCATTCCCCTTTACCCAAGTGAAATGATGAATATAATTTGTGTGGTACTTAAGAAGTTAGTTAAAGGAGGGAATTACGAACTTCTTTGACCTCTACAGTAAAAACCCACTCGTCCCAAGGCAGCTTTGGCTTGGTGTCTTGTTTTAAGTTGGTGTGATATTGATGCAGCCCTTTTGACTCAGTTGCAGCAGTTACTCACAGACCTTCCCCATGACATGCTGGATGACGACCTCTCCTCTCCCGAGCCCCAGTATTCGGACTGCAGCGAGGATGGCACAGACAGACAGTAAGCAGCTGAAGGCACTTTCACGTGTATATTGCAATTCTATAAGTCTTTTTCTTTTGATGAAGATTAATAATTACATGATTATAAAATTATAAATTGATTCTTAAAATTTTGGGTGAAGGTTGGAGGGAAAAATGTTAAAATCTTGGGGTTCTTTGTGTTATCTATGTACAAATAAATGATAGGCTTTAAATCGAAAGTATTCCTTTTTCTCAAGACCACATCATCCTGAGCAATTGGAGATGAGCTGGAATGAGCAAATGCTGCCCAAATCTCAAAGTGTAAATGTAAGTATCTGGTGTGATGGTGACGTTGATGAGGGTGGGAATGGATCTTCGTGCTTTTGTTTTACTCTTGTTATCTAATAGGACTATAATGAAATTCAGAGTTTATATGCTGGAGAAAAATGTGGCAATGTCTGGGAAGAAAACAGAAGTAAAACTGAAGACCGACATCCTGTGTACCATCCTGAAGAAGGTGGAGATGAAGGTGGAAGTGGTTATACTCCTCCAAGTAAATGTGAACAGACTGATTTATATCACCTTCCTGAAAACTTTAGGCCATATACCAATGGTCAGAAGCAGGAATTTAATAACCAACCAACCAATGTAATTAAATTTTCAGATCCTCAATGGAACCATTTTCAGGTATTGTGAAAACTTGACTTTGAAGAACTTGTGTGTGTGCACACACATTTGCGTGATGTTTGTATGTGTTCAGGAAATGTATGTGAGTGCAATGGTAAGATGATGTAACCACACAAAGTTCTGAGAGGGCACTTATGCAGGTTGATGGTGAATTAGTCATGGTATTTTCTGTTTACAGTCTAATACAATCATGATCTTAAGTCGGAAGTTTAAAATAGAGGCTCTTCGGACACAGTTGATTAAACATTAAAAGTTAAGTCTGCCAAAGAATAACCGTCCTCGTTTACTGCTGCTTCTACCACTGCACTGTGCTTTAGTGAGAAGCTATGTTCAGGTCTCTTATTGTCGTTTTTAAAGCAGTAATTCTGGGTAGGTGACATTTAATTTCCTCAGTTTTCTTGCTTACCACTCATAACAAATTTTAGGTTAAACACGTCAAAGCTGGTATCTGTTTTGTATGGTGATATAACAGCAGACAGGATGAATGTGAAGGAAAAAACAAAAAACCTTGTTTTTCCTGTGGGAGATTTTAATGAAGTAAGACCTCAGGATATAGTTAGTTGCTTCTTAGAATTTCTCGATGACAGCAAATACCTCAACAGCTAGTCTGTGTCACACAATGACAGGATGGATTTTTTTAGGGCTGTTAAGTGGTTATTTTCTCTTAATTCTATCTCTGTAGAGTGTTACTCATCCCATAAGAGTTACCGAATATTTATTAGTTATGAGGCACCGTATTCCATGTTCATGTTATTGAATATGTGCATTCTTATGTTCCCAAGATATTTGGCATAATCTAAATCATTTGTAATAAAATATTTGTATATAGTCTTATTAGAATTCTTGGGTTTTATTTATAAAATTGCCTTCATTGTGTGCTCAAAAGTAGAAGTTAGTTGTCTATAAATTATGTATTGCAGACTTTTAATTAATATTGTTAAGTAACAGTAAGTGCTACTTTTGAGCAGATACATATGTGTGTGTGTGTGTATAAAACTTTGTAACTGTACCAAAAGTAAGTTCTGTAACATAAAATTTAGGTGTCTAATTCAGATAATTTTGGAAGAAAAGGCCAAATCTTGTCAGTTTCGTTTGTTATCTATAATAGCAATTTGGTTCATCACAGGGTCCCAGTTGTCAAGGTTTGGAACCGTATAATAAAGTGACATATAAACCTTATCAGTCTTCTGCCCAGAATAATGGCTCACCAGCCCAGGCGATAACAGGAAGTGACACATTTGAAGGCCTGCAACAACAATTTTTAGGAGCTAATGAGAGTAGGTATCAAGTTTATATTTATTTTTTAATACCACATAATTGGGGAAATTTGAACACACAGTGAATATATGAGCACATTCAAGAATTATTATTTTTTGAGTATGACAATAGAATTGTGCTTGATATTTCAAAGAGCCCTTATTTTTAGAGATATATACTAAAGAATATTTATGAATAAACTGACATGAAGTCTAGGATTTACTTTAAAATAATATGCTATTGAGGGGTAATGTTGGGTGGGAATATAGATGGAGCTGAATTGGCCATGAGTTCATAATTGTTGAATCTGGGAAATGGGTTTACCTAGATTCATCATATTATTCTCTTTACTTTCTTATATATTGGAAATGTTCCATTAGGAAAAGTTAAAAGACATTTTCTCAACTTTATATTTCAGTCATTCTAGTTTAAGTCTTTTCTCCTCATTTGTATAGTGGTTAGTATCCTCACCTATCATACAGGAGACTGGGGCTCATTTGAAATTTAAAAAAAATTTAAAAAGACTTTTTATGAACTTTATATATATTTTTTTGACTGAAGCCTAATTTGGAAAATGAAACATAGTTTTCAGTCTCAGATTTTTGACTATATAGAAGTGTAATTTAATACATCAGCACTATCATCAACTTTTTTGTTTTGATTTTAGTTTTTAGTGTAATAATTAGTCAACTCTGATACAAATTACTTTATATTCAGAATTACTTAGATATCAGGTTCAGTCGTGTGACATTTGCCAAATTTTTTTTTGTGTAGTATGTATACAAATATGAGAATGAAAAAAGTGCTTATAGCTGCTAGAGAATTTTGAGATGCAATGCTAGTATCAAAAAACAAAAATCCCAAAATATAAACCTGTATAGTGACTGTACTGAATTACTCTTGTCATACTCTCTGGCATACTAAATAGCTTCTAATTATTGTGCATATTGAAGAGCCAGTGTAATTCTAGAGTGTGACAGCAAGTGTTTTTGTTTTATTTTTTTGTTTTCCTTTAATTAGTAGGGGAAAAGTCATACTGGATATTCCGGCTTGCCTGGGCTATACCAAAGAGAAACCTGGACTTTTGGGTTGTGACTTCATAGTGTTGCTTCCATCTTACACTGGGACAGCAGGGTAGTTACAGGGGGAGGCCCACAATTCATTTTCCCCTAAAGGAGTCAACAGCAAATATGAGGATGGCCTCTCTATGTTCTTCCGTTTTTTGTGGAATGAGGAAGTGGACAGTGTATATGATATAACTGGTTTTAGGTTGAGTAAATGAACCTCACAGCAGTGGCCTGACATCTCCTTAGTGTTTACTCTTTCAGTTCCCTTGAAAAGTTGTATTTGTATCTCCTGGTCTTTCTGCATATAAAAACCTGGTCTTTCTGCATATAAAAAATCCTCACCTTTCTTAACAGTCTGCACTTCTTCAAGTTGAGTTAGTTACACATTTGTCTAAATTTGACATTTGGAAGTTAATTAAATAATGGTAGTGCCAATTTAGTGATTATAGTTTCTTAGCAACAGTAGTTTAAAAAAAACAAGTTCGGAGAGAGATGGGACTAGCTCTGCTATAAGATCTATGAGGAGTTTGACTTGTATAAACTTTTCAGTCTTTAATTTTCTTTATTTAACCAGATCTCTTTTTAAAAAGAGGATGGAATTATTTAGTTAGCAAGTGGTTAAAACTCAGTAAATGCATTTATTTCTGATTGTAAGCTTACAGAAACATTGTTCTAGTAGGAAGTGAAGAACATTTATCATTATGTAGTTGAAGCATACCCACCAATCCTTTTTTTCATTTTTTTCCTGACTCTTTTTAAAGTGGTCCCCAAATGACTAGTTGTTTCTAAAACAAGACTTCAAAATCTTTTTTTTTTTTTTTTAATTATGGATTTGAGGAGTACATTTGCAGGTTTGTTACATGGGTGTATTAAATAATGCTGGGGTTTGGCTTCTAGTGAACCCATTACCCAAATAGTGAACATAGTACCCAATGGATAGTTTTTCAACCCTTCTGCCCCCACCCAAATTCTTGATTAATCTATTCACTAGCTAATTAATTCAGTTATGTGCCAGCATCAATATAAATATTATGTTTTCCCCACTCCTGCCTAAAATAAAATATTTTGAGGCTATCTAGAAATTTTCTTTAAGAATGATTTTATAGAAGCTGATGTACTTGTTTTTAATTTTCTGAGAGCATATTACTTTATTTCATTGCAGTTGTTATATACTAACTTTTAATTGGCTAAAACGGTAGGTAGTGATTCAGGGTTATAACTTAAACCAGTGACTTTCAAACTTTTCTAGCAGTGACCCACTGTAAGAACTGTATTTTTTTATTGTGATATGGTCTACAACATATATCTATATGAACAAGTATGTATAAATGAAACAAGTTTCACAAAATAAGACTGATTCTTACTACATGATACAATCGGATACATTCTATTTTATCTCTCTTTTTTTAATCCTAGTCATAATTCACTGAATTGATTTCATGATACTCTGAAAAGTTGTAGTCACAGTTTGAAAAGCACTGCTTTAAATGACTATAAATTTATATTTTGGTATGTTTTTATCTAATAAATTGTCTTTAATTCCCAGACTCTGCAGAAAATATGCAGATTATTCAACTTCAGGTTCTTAACAAAGCAAAAGAGAGACAACTGGAGAACTTAGTTGAAAAGTTAAATGAAAGTGAATGCCAAATTCGATATCTGAATCACCAGCTTGTAATAATAAAAGGTAAGATGCTGAATGCTGTCATTTACAGGGTACACTGAGCTAGGTATCTTGTTTCCAGTAACCTCATATTAACTACGAAACTTAGAGAATAAAAGCACTTGGTCAGAGGGCTCATAGTGAGTGAGGCATAGCAAAACAAAACCCAGGATTTCTGAGTGTTGGCCTTGGATTACTTCTCTTTGGAACACACTGTTTTGGAGGTCAGGTGTGGTAGCTTACGCCCATAATCCCAGCACTTTGGGAGGGGCCACGGTGGGTGGATCACTTGAGATCAAGAGTTCAAAACCAGCCTGGCCAACGTAGTGAAACCCTGTCTCTACTAAAAATGTAAAAATTAGCCAGGTGATGGCAGGCATCTGTAATCCCAGCTACTTGGGAGCCTGAGGCAGGAGAAGGAGAATTGCCTGAACCCGCAGGTAGAGGTTGCAGTGAGCAGAGAAAGCGCCACTGCATTTCAGCCTGGGTGACAGAGTGAGACTCTGTCTCAAAAAAAAAAAAAAGACACACTGTTTTGGAGTCCTCATTTTTTCCCTTTCTCACTTAGGCTTTTAGAATCGTTGAACATTATTTAACTGTACTGATGGCATTCTGTCCTAAAAAGTTGTTGATTCCTTATGTCATTACTCTAGATGAAGTATTCCAACTTTCAAAGTGATTTGTGTTTAGTTTGCACTGCAACGTTTTCTGAGGCTACAAATTAGCGTAAATGTTTTAATCCAAATAAGAGTTAGTGATTGTGAAGTGCCATGTCTGGGATAAACACATAGAGTAAATACAGATTCAAATTATAATTGTTTACTCCTTGTGCTTTCTCTAGTTTTGGTCCACGTTGAACTTTCATTTGTAGAATAATTATGTGATTGAACTCTAGCTCATTCAAATTTAACTGATGGTGAAAATGTCTCTTTCTGTAATGCTCATAACATTTATTTTGAGAGAAGAACTTGTGACCTGTTATAGCAAAGTACGTGGGAAGAATTTAACATTAGGTGAATGAAAGAGTTCATTGCAAATGGGTCGGGCGTGGTGGCTTACGCCGGTAATCCCAGCACTTTGGGAGGCCGAGGTGGGAAGATCATGAGGTCAGGAGATCGAGATCATCCTGGC